CTCCCACCCACCCTCAGGCAGGGGCTGGCGCAATGCGGATGAAGTCCCACCCCACTCACCTCCTGGCTGGGCGATCCCAGCCCCCGGTGCAGGGGGAGCAGGCAGGCGGGGAGGGGGAGAGGAGAGGATGCTGGAGGAAGGAACCCTCCCACTGGCTCCTGCCTGCTGTGCGCCTGTGCACGATCCGCATCCAAAGGAATGCAGGTGGCCCCAAGGGCACTTCTCTTTGGAGTCACCTTTTCCGTCAACACCCAGATAAGTCTGTCTCAGGCGAGATGGGACTCCCATCTCCCATTTAAGGTTTACCAGGCTGCAGGCTGCTTGTTCGGGAGCGGTGGCTCCTGCCTGCCGCCCCTTCTGTCACCCAGGGGCCCCGTGTCTCTGTCTTCATGCCCACATGACGCCAGAAGCCCAAGATGATCGCGGAGGAGCGTGTTCCCCTGGCTTTGAGAGTGGTCAGCGGGTAAAAGCAACCCTATTCAACGTTACAGCCCCCCTTAAGCAGTTCACAGTCACTGCTGTGTTAGCCCGGAGTCTTTTGGTTACAAGCGAGTGAAACCCATCTGAAACCGGCATAAACTAAAAAGAGAAGTGATTGATTCACATAGTTGGAAAGTCCAAGGGGGGCTTTCGGACCTGGCTGGATCGATCCAGTACCTGTGTGAGGCTTGGCGCTTTTCCTCTCCTGTCTCCTCTCTCTTTTCTTGTCTCATGTTGTGTTTCCCCTAACTACCCTCCTCCTCCTCCCCTCCACCCCCTCTTCTACCCACTGGATGCTACTAGCACACACACACCCAGCTGTGACAACCCTAAATGTATCTAAAGGTTGCCAAAATGTATGTGTGTGTGTCCGGGTGCTTGTGTGTGAACCACTCCTCCCTCCCTCCTCATTTCAGAACCACTAGCCTCAAGGAAGAAACCTTTACCTGTGAGATAATGATGGGTTGGAGCCGGGAGGGGTTGGGGGTGGGGGCGGGTGGACTTTGGGTCCGGGATCTGGATTTCTCTGAAGATAAGCTTCCCACTGCCACGTTTTTTAGCTGATTTGGGGAGAGTCTATATGAGATCACCTCTCACAAGTCCTGAAGCTCTCTGGGTCTCTGTCATTGTTATTGTTCATATTTTAATGCCGCGAGAATAAAAGTTTTTATTTGCAAAGTTAAAGCATGGCACAGAATAACAGGATTTTTTTCCGGGTCGAGCACACCAGTCTTGGGGGCAGGGTTTGATGGTCACATCTGCATCAAATTAGTGGCTCTTAAAGATGCATTAAATTGTCCCTTTGATCTCGTAATTGCATTTTGCTGTGGCGATGCCTCCCTGCTGGAACCAAAAGCCACTGTTAACTTCTCCAGCTCACAGAAAAAATGTCATTTTCTCAGAACTGACATGTGAGAGATGATGGCTTACCCAGGCGTGGGTTCTAACTTGATCATTTTCTTCCTGGGTTTTGGAGAATGGCACCTGGCTCCCCTCTGAACTTCGATACTTTCAGCTGAGAGCGAAAAGCCCGTGCTCTCTCTTTCCCTTTTCATCCTGATCCCTGGAAACAACCAAAGGTAATTACAATGACTATCAAATGCATGACTATCTTCTCAGTGGCTCCTGGTCCAATGATCCTGTCTTCCTTTTCAGTGGTGAGAGGCCCCTCTGTGGTGGGCAGTTAGACAGACGTGAGCAGAGCAAGGACAGATGGACAGTGGGCCAGGTACGGAAGGTCCCCACGGCAGAGAGTCCTGGGTGTCTAACGATGGGCAAAACTGAGAAAAGGAGGACCTCACCCCCAGGTAACCTTTCCTCGCCTGGCAAGTCGCTAATCATGCAGTAGACCCCGTTGGAGGAGGAACAAGGGTCTTAAGAGTGGCCTCATGGGACTCTCATGCCACTCCTTTGAGCATCGACCCCTGGGGATAACATCTAGGCCTCATCTGTGTTTCAGTTCCAGGCCCAGAGAAGCACCAAAACCAGGCAAATGATGCCATGCCTGACCTCAGGACCAGCTGCATTGACTAATAACCCCGGAAAGCTGATGCATATATTCTATTAAGGTCCTCCCCTGGGCCCCGCCCCTAAAGTCCCCACCCTTAAAAGCCCTGAGGACAGAGCCCCAGCAGCTCTTAGCTCCTGCTCTCCCTACCAGGAGGGAGCACATCTGCACCTTTTGCTCCTCCCTCTCCCTCCCCCCACCCCAGGCTTGTTACCTTTACCTTCCTCTTTCCTAAGCCCCAAGGGCTTTTCTTTTATCTCTGTAACTTGTTTTATGATCCCACCCACAGAGGTATTTCCTACCTCTGTGACTTTCTAAATAAACTTTCTCTTATAGTATGAGTCTTAGCTCTGAATTCTTAGCCAGAACTCAAGAACTGAGGTTGCTAAACCAAGGTCTGGTCTGACCCCACCCATCTAACACCTGGGGCCATTTTTCACCACCATCAACAACTCTTTCTTTAAAATACATATATATATATATATTGATTACAGAGAGGAAGGGAAAGGGAGAGAGAGATAGAAACATCAATGATGAGAATCATTGACCGGCTGCCTCCTGCACGCCCCCTACTGGGAACTGAGCCTGCAAGCCAGGCATGTGCCCTGATCAGGAATGGAAGAACCATGACCTCCTGGTTCAACCACGCCGGCCGGGTACATTGTTCTTTAAAAAAAAAAAAAAAAAAAAAAAAAAAAAGAAGTCTGACTGGAGCCATCCATTCTTCTGAGTTGTGTCTTCTGTTTACTTGGTAGTGAAGGAACAGGAGAGTGTGACTTTTCAATGCCATCTGGGACCCAGCTCCCTAATCTCCAAAGACTAGCTGAGAAGTGACTCTTTTCTCCTCGTGGCCACTAGGGGGTGCAAGGACCCCGAGCAGCTGCTGGTCAGGCAGCCTGGGGTCAGGGCGGGGGCTGGTGATTCGGCATAGAAGCCCCTCCCTGCTCCCTGGGGGAAGGAACCGCAGGCTCTCCAAGGCCCCCAGGGCTGCAGATACACGCCCCAACACCAGAGCATCTACTGACTTCTGGGGCAGCAGTGCCAGGAGACCCTGAGGAACAGCCTGGGGTGGGGGTGGGGGCGTTGCTCCTGTTCTGCATCTCTGAACCTTGACCCCAGGAGCAGCCGCAGGGCAGTTTGAACCCTCCCAGTCCCTCTCCAGACAGTCTGGCTGTGTCTGAGAGCACACAGGTACATTACAGGCTAGAATAACCCTGTAATGGATCAGCCGGTGCTTCCTGTACAAGTCTTGGTTTTCATTTACTGTAAGTAATCCTTTTCTCTGATGAGACTTGAGAGCAAGCGGAGGAAACAGGACTGAGTGGAGCTAAGAGTTTGCTGAAACCGGCATGGTGGTAGCCAATGGTGCCAAAGCAGTGACGGGGACCCACCTAGGCCTTTGAATTTTATCTAAGAGCTCTGAGGAGAGCTTGCATTGGGAAGTGCAAAGGGTCTGGGGCTCTGGAGTTGGACAGACCGGTTGAAACCCAGTTCTCCCATCTTCCAGCAGGTCTAGTTACCTTCTTCCAGGACCTCAGTTTCTTCATCTGGAAAGTGGGAATGCTATTCAGGACAGTATTATGAACCAATGGTTCCCTAGCACCCACCACAGTAGGGCCTTCACTCATGGTAGCTGAAATTGGACAGTGGCTTGAAAGAACCGTGTCATTATCTCTCCAGTCCCTGTGGACAGACTGGGCTCGATGGGATATTCCATAGCTGACCTTGCTTGGCTCCTTATGCTGTTACAGTCTGATGAGCTGAGGTCATCGGGGGTTGGGGGGCTAAAGTGGAATGCTGGGAAGCCTGGGCCCCTCTCCACTCCAAGCTGTCTCAGGGTCTCTCCTCTCCACACGGGCTGCTTCAGCAGGACTGCTTTACATCCCGCATCTGGAGACTCCCCAAAGCGCAAAAGTAGAGCTGCCCAGGCCTCTTGATGCTTGGGTCTGGAGCTGACACCACATCTCATCTGTTATCATGCATTGGTAGGTCCCAGGCAGCACAGACTAGTGTGGGAGGGACATACCCCAGAGAGCGAATACTCGAGATGTGGCTCACAGGAGACCACTGTTAGGGACTAGACACCAGAATGGTGCACCAGTGTCCGAATGCTGCTGCAATAAATTGCTACAAACTTAATGTCTGCAAGCAACACGCATTTATTGTCTTGGAGGAGAGAAGTCCAAACCAGCTCTCAGAGGGCTGAAGTCAGAGGGTGCCAGGTGGCTTTCTTTTCCGGAGGAAAGGGTCCTTTTCTTGCCTTTTCCAGCTGCTAGAGATGGCCCACATTCCCCAGCTGTGGCTCCTCCCCATCTTCAAAGCACATTGCTTCAACCTCTGCTTTCATCATCACGGCCCCTTTTTCTGTTTTTATAATTTTCTTGATGTGAGAGAGAGATTGATTTTGTTGTTCCACTTAGTGATGCGCGCATTGGTTGCTTCTTGTATGTGTCCTGACCAGAGATCAAACCCACAGTCATGGTGTGCACTGGGATGACGCTCTCACCAACTACCAGCCAGGGCTTAGCAGCTCCTTTTGCTTTCTTTTTTTATTTTTTTCGTTTGATTGCACATGTATATTTAAGAACAGTTTTACACAGAATGCTAAGAGCACTTCATATTTTACAGAAGTACTTGAAACATGGACGTTCTATGAACATTCATACCATAGCACAGTAAACCTAACACCTAAATAAATGCACTACAATTTGCTTAGAGTTTACAGGCTTAATGGCAATAAAAGGGGGAGGGAAAAGCCTAAATTTGTTTTATGTAATTGAGTGAAAAATAAACTCAAGAAATCTATAATAATAAAAGCATAATATGCTCATTAGACCAGATGTCCAACCAGATGTCCTTCCAGACGACCTTCCGGACGAAGCCAGGCCATGAGGGAAGCCCGGGTCCTGGGTGCCAGAGGGAAGCCGATGCCGGCAGCCAAGGGACGGAAGGCCTACCCTTGCATGAATTTCGTGCATCGGGCCTCTAGTAGTCAATAAAATTTAATATGGTCTCATGCGCTCTGAAGGAGGTGGTGCCCAATTCGAGGGGTGATCACTATGTCCAGATAATCTCCTATCTGAAACTTCTGCGACTGCAGGGTCATGGAATCATCAGTCCCCTTTCTCCCGGACATGGTGCTGCCGATCTCCTTCACCCGATAGCCAGGTCTTTTCATATCCGTAAAAACAATTGCAAAGTTGAAGTGTGTGCCCTTCTTTCTAGCTTCTGGGTAGACTTCTTTTACTGAACTAGTCAGTTCTTTCAAGGTTGCATCCATCCAGGTGTAGATCTGCAGCTCACTGGATGGCACATTCCCGCAGAACTTGTCCTTGCAATGGTGGCGCCCGTTGTTGGTGGTGAAGACACGCAGCAGCAGCAGCGGGCCCATCTCCCGGACAATTGGTTTCTCCGGATCCTTCTTAATTTCCTCTGGGTGACCACCATCTTCCTCCAGTGGTGCCCGAGGGCTCGCTCTGACCTCTGATCCCGGCAGCCAGCGGGCGAATCTCCTTTTCCTCATATGATGCTCCTATCTCCTCTTCTAAGGACCCTTGTGATTACATTGGATCTACCTGGATAATCCATCATAATCTCCCCATCTTGAGGTCACATGATTAGCAACCCTAATTCCACCTGCACCCTTAATTCCCCGCTCATCATGTAACACAACGTCTTCACAGAATCTAGGCATTAGGACATGGACATCTTTGGGGGACATTATTCCACAGATAGGAAGAAAGACACTTTATTACATTTCTTTCCAAAACATTTTTAGAGATTAGATTTATCATGAATGATGCCTTAGGAAAAAAATTCCTCATGCTCTTACATAAACACTCCCTTTGGATTTTGTTTTCATTCAACAAACACTGCCTGACTTGCAAGTCACTGTGCTAGAGACTGTACAAAACAGATGAACAAAATCCATCCCTGCCTTCAAGAAGTTCACAGCTGTGGCTCTCCACTCCCCGAAATCATTTCTCTTTCTTCTTTTTTTAAAATTATTTTCTATTGATTGATTTTTTAGAGAGAGAGAGAAAGGGGGGGAGAGAAACATCGATTTTGTTGTTCCACTTATTTGTGCATTCATTGGTTCATTCTTGTATGTGCCCTGACCAGGGATCAAAACCACAACCTTGGCATATCAGGATGATGTTCTAACCAACTGAGCTACCCAGCCAGGGCAATTTCCCCCTTTCTCTTGCTCACAGAATTTTGTGCAGACTGAAATTGGTCCAACTCCAGAGCATGAATCAATCATGACTGGTTTGAGCCAAAGGTGGAATACTATGGCTCATAGGTCAAGTCCAGCCTGCCACCTGTCTTTGTAAATAAAGCTTTATTGAAACAGCCACACTCATTCATGACAGTATTGTCTGTGGCTACTTTTGCACTATAAAGGCAGAGTTGAGTAATTGCAAGAAAATCTGTGGCCACAAAGCCAAAAATATTTGCTATCTGGCCCTTTGTAGAAAAACTGGCTAATCCCTGGTTTAAGTTAGTGATGCTCAACCTTGTCTGTATATTAGAATTATTTGGGGAAACTATCTTTTATTTTTTAATCTTCACCTGAGGATATTTTTCCCATTGATTTCTAGAGAGAGTAGAGGGAAGGAGGAGGGGGAAAGAGAGAGAAACATCAATCTGAGAGAGATATATAGATTGGTTGCCTCCCACAAGCACCCCTACTGGTGCTGGGGAACCTGAAACCAAGGTACCTGCCCTTGATCAGGAATCGAACCCTCAACCCTTCATTCCATGGGCTGACACTCCAACCACTGAGCAAAACTGACCAGGGTGAAATTACTTTTTTAAAAAAGCCAAAACCCTGAGCCCTCCTCCCAGAGCTTGTAATTTAATTTACCTGTGGGTGAGCTCTGGTTTCTTTTTTAAACTCTTGTCTCTCTTTATTTTTATTATATACTAGAGGCCCAGTGCACGAAATTCATGCACTTGGAGGGTCCCTCAGCCCAACCTGCGCCCTCTCACAGTCTGGGAACTCTCAGGGGATGTCCGACTGACAGCTTAGGCCCACTGCCCGAGCGGGCCTAAGCCGTCAGTTGGACATCCTTAGCACTGCCATACAGGTGGGAGAGGCTTCCACCATCACTGCTGCGCTTGCCAGGCTTCTGGCTGAGCAGTGTTCCCCCTATGGGAGCGCACTGATCACCAGGGGGCAGCTCCTGTGTTGAGCATCTGCACCCTGGTAGTCAGTGCATGTCATAGTGACTGGTCGTTCTGCCATTCGGTCGATTTGCATATTAGCCTTTCATTATATAGGATTTTTATTGATTTCAGAGAGGAAGGGAGAGGGAGAGAGACATCAATGATGAGAGAGAATCATTGATCAGCTGCTTCCTGCATGTCCCCTACTGGGGATCGAGCCTGCAACCTGGACATGTGCCCTTGACCGGAATTGAACCCGGGACCCTTCAGTCTGCAGGTCGACGCTCTATCCACTGAGCCAAACCAGCTATGGATGGGCATCAGTAAAAGCTACCCAGGTTATTCTCTTGGGCAGCTAAGATTGAGAACCACTCGTCTCAGACAGTCATGGAAATTCTCTTCCCCTTTAACAGGATTGACTTGGGGATGGGGTGGGATGAGAACCAACTCTGGCCAAATGGGAAGTACACTGGGGAGCTGGCTCTGGAAAAGATTTCCCACCCTTATATAGAGACAAGCGTGAGGAGAAAGTGGCTCTACTTGTCACCTTCTCTCACTTCCTGCTGTGGATGCTGTTGTGTAAGAGTTTGATGGTTAGAGCTTGACCATGAAGGGCTGAGCCCGAGGTTGAAAAGCCACAGTACTGAGGATGGTGGAGAAGAGGGAGGTCAAAAGCCTGAGTCCTTGATGATAATCACTGAACTGCTGGGCCAACTCTGGATGGCTTTCCTCTGCTTTTCTTGTTAAGTAACAGCAAATCCTTATGGTTTGAGCCCCACTGGTGGGGCTATCTATAACTTACAGCTAAATATATTTATAAATAACACAAAATTCTGCTAAGGAGTCAAAAAGAAAAGCTGCAATTACAATTGAATGGTGTAGTGAGTTGAATGGTGGCCTCCCAAAAGCTGTGAGCACATCCTCATCGCCAGAACCTGTGAATGTGGCCTTATTTGAAAATGGGTCTTTGCACTTGTCATTAAGTTAAGGATCTTGAGATGTGATCATCCTGGATTTTCCAAGTGGACCTTAAATCCAACGCCAAGTGTCCTTTTCAGGACAGAAGAGAAGACACGAAGAGGTGAAGGCCATGTGAGGACAGAGTTAGAGACTGGAGTGATGCAGCCACAACCCCCGGAACACCATGTCAGAAGTCACCAGAAGAGGCAGGAATGGATCCTTTCCTACAGTGCCCGGAGGGAACACAGCTCTACTGGATTTCAAACTTCTGGCTTCCAGAAGTGTGAGAGAATTGATTTCCATGGTTTTAAGCCACCCAATTTGCGGTAATTTGTTACAGCAGCCACAGGAAACTAACTAGGGGTAAACATTACAGTGGAGCTATGAGGAGGTTGAGGCATAGAGCTCAACCAGGAAGTAATCAGACCGCATTTCCATGCACAGTTTATTCTTAAACACCTCTGTTTCTCCAACAGATATTTAATAAAATGTTGCTCTGGCCTAATAGAGTGACTGACACAGAGGATTTGACATTGTGCAAGAGAGACCCCATTTCTTTCTTTCTTCCTTCCTTTTTTTAAATTCAAATCATTTTTTATTTTTCATTTACAGTTAACATACAATATTATATTAATTTCAGGTGTACACTCTAGTGATTAGACATTATATAACTTACTAAGTGATCATCCCAATAAATTTTGTACTCATCTGAAACCATAGATAGTTATTAGAATATATTTTTATTGAGTTTTAGAGAGAGAGAAAGGTAGGGGAGAGAGAAAGAGAGAAAAAAAAATGATATGAGAGAAACATTGATCAGTTGCCTCCTGTATGTGCCCTGGCAGGGTGGGGGTGGGAAGGAGGGGTAGTGGTGTGGAACCTGCAACCTAGGTATGTGCCCTGACTGGGAATCGAAAACTTTTGGTCTATGGTATGATGCCACCTGGCCAGGGCATTATTAAAATATTATTGACTATATTCCCTATGCTGTACTTTACATCCTCACGACTATTCTGTAACAAACACTTTGTATTTCTTAATCCTTTCACCTACTTCATCCATCTCCCCAATCCTCTACCATCTGGCAACCATCAAAATGTTATCGTATCTATGAGTCTGTTTCTGTTCTGCATGTCCATTTATTTAGTCTATTAGATCCAATTGTTGCTAGATATGTATCTATTGCCATTTTATTTTTCATCTTTTTTTATCTCCTCCTCCTCTTCTTCTTCTTCTTCTTCTTCTTCTTCTTCTTCTTCTTCTTCTTCTTCTTCTTCTTCTTCTTGACCCTTTAACATCTCAAGTCATACTGTTTTGGTGGTGATGAACTCCTTTAGCTTTTTCTTGTCTGGGAAGCTCTTTATCTGTCAATCAATTCTAAGTGATAGCTTTGCTAGATAGAGTAATCTTGCTGGTAGGTCCTTGTTTTTAATCACTTTGAATATTTCTTGCCACCCCCTTCTAGACTGAGAAGTTTCTGTTGAAAAATCAGCCGATGGTCTTAGTAGGTAACTAACTGCTTTTCTCTTACTGCTTTTAAGATTCTCTTTCTCTTTCATCTTTTGCATTTTTATTTTGATGTGTCTTGGTGTGGGCTTCTTGGGGTAATCTTGTTTGCAACTCTCTGAACTTCCTAGACTTGTATGTCTATTTTCTTCACCAGGTTAGGGGAGTTTTCTATCATTGTTTTTTCAAATAGGTTTTCAATTTCTTGCTCTCTCTCTTTTCCTTTCTGCAACCCCATGATGCAAATCAAATATTGATACACTTGAAGTTGTCCCAGAGGTTCCTTATACTTTCCTAATTATTTTGGATTCCCCCTTTTTCCTTCTGTTTTGATTGGGTGTTTTTTGATTCCTTATATTCCAAATAACTGATTTGATTCTTGGCTTCATCTATTCTACTGTTGACTCCCTGTAAATTATTCTTCATTTCAATTAGTGTGTCCTTCATTTCTGACTGGTTCTTTTATAGTTTCTATATCCTTTTGTTTTTTTCAATTGATTTCAGAGAGGAAGGGAGAGCAAGAGAAAGATAGAAATACCAATGATGAGAGAGAATCATTGACCTGCTGCCTCCTGCACACCCCTCCACTGGGGATCAAGCTCACAACCCAGGCATGTGCCCTTGATCAGAATTGAACACAGACCCTTTAGTCTGCAGGCCAATGCTCTATCCACTGACCAAACCAGTCAGGGTTCTATATCCTTTTTTGTGCTATTAAAGTTCTCACTAAGTTCACTGAGCATCCTTATAACCAGT